ACTTTTACACAATAACGTTTCACCCGCGATTAGCATTAGCATGAGCTAACCTCAACATGGAGCACCTTTTCTCTCTACAGGGTTTCAACTCACCTGGATGACGTTTCAGCTCGAGCACCGTAAGGACCCACTCACAGCCGCTCGAGCTCGTGCTCAAGAGTGCAAAAGACCGCGAAACTAATGCGCGTTTCAGCCCGCAGCTTTGGAGGCGGGACTAACATTAGTCTGAACAAATGAGAAGGTCATTGTCACACAACGTGACCATGAAAACAGGAAACAACGCGAGGGAGAGAGGAAGACATTTCCTCCTTTCAAAATAAACCTTTTTTCAAAATAAAACTCTACAACATTCTACAAATAAAAGGAAGAGAAAAAGTCATTTTCTCTACTTGGTTACACAAGCACTTCATCCTCCTTTAAAACTCTTTTAAAAACACATTTTTACAGATGTGCTTTTACAGGAGTTGTTTTATGAGTGGACTTTTACTCCGTTTGATGGCAGTATTAAGGGCAGGACATTTTACCTTCTAACTGTTTTATTCCTTCCTTTATTGTCTTTTAATTGTCTTATTTTCCTGGGTTTTATTTTTCTTATATATTTTTATATTGTTTTATTGTCTTTCATGCTTTATGTGCTTCACCTTCACCATTTTTTAAAAATGTATTTTTGGCTTTTCACTTCCTTTAATGTTGTTTAATGTTGTTTTCCGTACACTTCTCTTTGAATCTGTACAGCACTTTGTAACCCTGTTTTGAAAAGTGCTATATAAATAAAGTTTATTATTATTATTCTATATATAGGGAGTAGGGATTCAGTGGATGATTTCGGACGTGGCCAACATTTTTGTCAAAGTATCCATCAACTCCAACTTCTTCCTTATATGGACGTGGCTCTAAACCTCAGCAGCCACCAGAGGGCAGCATCACTTCACTGTAAACATGTAGTCGCATACAGCTGGATGTTTTTCCACATATATTTCAGTTATCCAGTTACACAGATACAACAGATAAAGACATGTAAAGTCACTACATTCTACAAAACAGACTGTACTGTGTGTAGGCTGAGAACATTCAGTGGTGTGCATGCATTTCTACTATACACACGTATACATAGCTGAACATATGATGTCAGAAATTAACAGCAGTTGTGTTTGAATCTGTGTTTTGGTTGTTTGAATGCTGTTGTTCTGCTTCATAGGGTGTTGCTGGGAGATCTCAGAGGGGTAGGCTTTCAGCAGCACAAACATGACAGCACTTGTGGGCTGAACTAGAATTGCAGGAAGTAGCTCCTGCTTGTTATGTGAAGCTGATTTTGTCCTAGAAATTAACTGTGAAGAGAGTTAGTGCTGTTCAGCAGAGCAATGGCCCCCGACAGCCCTCTCCTGTTGGCTGCAGTGATCCTTGTGTCGGCTCTACATATGGGTGAGTCCACAACGACGGCATGCTTGTTCCAGGACTTTTGTCACAACACTACTGTTTTGGAGAATATGAAATAAGCACTGTATTAACAGGAGGCAAGTCTTTAACTCTCTTTTCACGCAATCAGTGATCATCAAATCACCGATTATACCACTGAGGTTTAAGCTCTGCAGCAGTTTGGATTTTTTTTTCCACATGAAGAGCCTGTAAGACCGAAACCCTACTTGGATCTCCACAGTTGCTTCATAAAGTATTCAGAGCCTCACCTTTAGCACACTTTATGGCACTGTAGATTTAAAAGAAAAGATTTCAGAATCGCTGGGAAGTAGCGCTTCACAAACTGGGGGAAATATCTAGTGACAGTCGTCCTAACAAATACTCCTCTGTTGCTCGGTGGTGTTGATTCGTCCTGTACAGCATCAGGAAGATCAGACCTTTCCTGTCTGAACATGCAGCACAACTCCTGGTCCAAGCTCTCATCATATCATCGACTACTGCAGCTCCTTACTGGCAGGCCTCCTGCATCCACGCTCAGACCTCTGCAGATGATCCAGAACCAGCAGCAACCAGCCACAAACAGCTCATGGACTGTTCAGATCGGTCACTGGCTTCCAGCTGCTTCAAATCCAAACTCTGACACTGAACACAGAACCACAGAGAGAACATCTCCTCCTACCTGAACTCTCTCCTTCAGGTCTACACTCCCTCTGCTCACTAACTGGACCAACCAGAACCTCCTGGTCCAACCACCACAACAGGTCCAGGTCGGTGGCTGGAGGCACCAGCGTCCCATCACACGTGTTCTACGGCTCTTATCCAGCTTGTTGTCCTTGCTGGTGTCGTATCTGCTCTCAGATGTACGTCGCTTTGGACAAAAGCTAAATGAAATTGTACAATTGAAGAATTACAATACATGTTTTTAGAAGCTGCCCCATATGTACTACATATTGCTCTGGAACATTTTAGCTGCTTTATATTTTAATGCAAGAGTGAGAACTGAAAGATCTAAACTGGTTCAAACGTGTTTATTAAATATAGAGAAGATAGAACAATTATCACAAAAGCTGTGGCTGTTTGGTTAAATAAAATAATGATCAGAAACAGGGATTGTGATTAGAAAATAATAAGATCTCTCTCTGTGTCTCTGACTTTGAGACAGGCCGCTCACTCATGGCTCACGAGCAGCACCAAAGTATGGTTCCCTCTAAGAATAAGAAATGAACCCTGGGTCAGACATGTTGCATAATATCCTAAATTACAGCCACTGTGATGTGCTAATTGCATGATACTGCCACCACCATGCTTCACCATAGGGATGGTATTAGGTGGTTAGCAGGGCCTGTTCTTCAACACACTTAGTGCTCAGAGTTCTGTTCAACTTTATCACAGGTCTCCAGAGAGTTTCTGGGACCTAATGACTTGGACAGGCAGTGTGGATTGTACGTATGGTTATCTTTCCTTTCCCCAAAAGGCGACTGTTGTACAGTCAGCGGTAAACAAAAACACAGTTGTATATAATGTATATGTATATAATGACCACACACACTGCAAACTGCACAACAGACATGAGAATCACATAATACTGTTCAAAAGGACAATGGCAGCAGTGACTACAGGCATCCAAGAGTCACTGGGCCTTTCTATGGCTGTTAGAATACGTTAAGATCAAACTTTATGTATCATGAAAAAAATTCTTTTGTCGCCAGATGCTGCTCAGAAAACAAAGCTACATAACACGAGACAACGTGGTGCCAAGTCGCAACAAGACGGAAGTAGATCACGTGACTGAAAATAGAAGATTAGTAGGATAACACAAGACTAGATTTTTAAAAAAGAAATACGTAATACTGGCAATAATCCTAAGGTTTGTAAAGTAATATCCAACATCCTCTACACCAGGGGTGTCAATCTCAAAAACACAGTGGGCCAAAATTTAAAACCTGAACAAAGTCGCGGGCCAACATTGAACAAATGAACCTTTTAATATGGACCGAAACAAATTTTGCTTTAACATTGAACATGGAACAAGCAACGCTTATTACCATACATTATATATAAGTTAATAGTGGAGACATGCAAAATCAAATTATAAATAACAAAACACATCAATGGCACAGTTGTAGTGTGAAGTCGCTATGCCTACTGTCACAGAGGAGAGGGANGGACAGACCTGATAGAGGTGTAGACCTGATGGAGGTCTAGACCTGATAGAGGGACAGACCTGATGCCTCCAGAACCCAGACTGGGAGCTGATCCACAACAGAGGAGCTGATGGCTGGATCTGTGAACGTGCAGTGAAACAGTAAATGACTTTTCTGTGTCTTTATGTCATATGGAGATGATCCTCTCTGTGAACATCAGAACCAGTGTTATTGTCATTATACATACAGTGGTTATAAAACAAGGGTCAGGTTTAGAAAATGTGTCTCAATGACTTCAGGGTTTGAAGGAAAAATAGGAAACAATGATGTAATGAAGTCAAAACCATACGTGCACTACCTGAGAATGACTGGGGATGTGTCTCTACCAGTGTCATGGTCCCCACACTCAGGATTCAGACGTCCCTCCTCTTCTGGTAGGGTTAGCACACCTCACACTCCTTCACCTGTGGAGCAGGGGAAGACCTGGACCTGGGATCAGCTCCTGACTGGTGATGAAGCTCCAGGAACCGGTCTGTGAGTGACAGAATGAAAGAGGGTCCTGGAGAGGCCTGAAGCAGCGTCAGTGTACCAGCTGATGCGCTGTGGATGACATGTAGAGTGTGAACAGGCCTTTCTCACACTACGACCACGGCTCGTGTAAACCAGGTGTGATACCACCTCACGACCATAAGGTCAGCAGATAGCGAGAGCAGGATAATGTCTCCGTCTGTTTGAAGGGTCAGATTAATGGCACAGATTATGAACTATACAGAACATTTGCTACTGCCCTCTGCAGTCACAGCCAGCTTGTTCTAAGCCTACTGTGTGCTTTACATTCATATGTAGGTTTAAAATTCAGAGAAGATCAGCACTGGTCCCTGATCAGCTCTGACAGCGCCCCCTCCATCTGGTGATGTGATTTGTAGTAACATTTTCCTTCAGAGCTTTTTGAGATCCTCACATGTCACAACTGACGATTTCAATCATTTGTTAAAGGTAGGCGATGACATTTAAACTGAAAAATACACAGAAAATATTTTGTTGAAGGATTTCTCCTTATTTGGGAAACACTTGGACTACAGACTACAGATCCTGCAGAAGCTCCTGTCCCCTGTAGTCCAAAACCAGACAGGTCCAGACTGGTCCCACTGAGGGGCTCCTCAGGGATCTTCTGTTGGGACTGTAGGTTTCCATCAGCCTCCACGTGTTTGAATGCTGCTGTTCTGTCTGTTTAGACCTGTCTGCCCGGGTGGATGCCGTGAAAGAAGAGAACCTGAAGCTGAAGTCAGAGAACCAGGTCAGTACATCGAGAACCTCATGTCAGCCTCCAGTGT